GCTCCCACAGAGAAGGCTCTCCCCCTGGGGGTCACTAGCCAACACTGTCTGGCCGATGGCAGAAGGACTAAATAGGACTATTTTTGGACTTACGTTATAGAGTTCCCCCCCAACTACTGTTCTTTTGGTGTTCACAAATCATGACAATAATAGTTCTCACCTCTGGACTGCAAGTTGCCATCCTTGGGCTATATAATAAGTGAATTAGTCTTATATGGAAAAGTGGTCACTTAGCTCTAAAGTTGACTAGAACTATAAACATTATAAATCTCGTTCGGACTGTAAAGGGATCATATGCTTGAAATTAAAGCAAACTGTTTATGCTGACCACTGGATAGTTCTATCCTTCATTCTATCTAACTTGTATTCATTATTTCCAATCTCCTACCACATTTTCATTGATCATTAGATTTAGCATGTCAGAAACTCTCATGGACCAGGATTCTACAAAGCTGCAAGGAGAGGTGGAGCGACTAGCAGCTGAGCTGCAGGAGGCAATCCAAGAGAATGTCCAGGCAGCCCAGTATGGGCTAGCTGTGCTGGAGGAGAATGAGGATCTCAAGCAACGCTGTGGAGATCTGGAAGGTCAACTAGAGGTCCTACGCGTAGAATTGGCCTGCATGAAGGAGGTACATATACCACTTAGTGAACTATTTCCCCCGCTCTGCCTTGAACTTTTAATATGACCTAGGCTGGGCAGTGAGAATCCTGTTTCTTAGAATGTCTTCCATCTTCTTTATTTCCTTAGGCTTTGACAGAATCTCATAGCAGCCATAAACGAGCAGCAGCTGATGGGGAGAACCGGGAAGAGTCTCTACTCAGGGAATCGGCTTCCAAAGAAGCCCATCTGACTCAAACCATTGAGGAGCTCCAAAGTGAAGTGAAATTCCTGAAATCCCAGCTTGACAATACAGGGGTGGAAAGTGAACGGCTCAGCGTAGCTCTGCGAGACTTAAGGAAGGTAATTTGGGCAAAGCCTGATTAAGAAGGGATATGCTTAGAAGCCTCAGAATATGCTTATTCCCTTCCCTTCCTTGGGGAATAATGCTTTTTGCCCCTTTTCAGAGACCAGTCAAGTATGCTACTGTATTTGCTGCTTGTAAGAGCCGAGGTGGCGCAGTGGGTAGAGTGCAGTACTGCAGGCCACTTCAGCTGACTGCTAGTTCAGCAGTTCAGCGG